CAGCCCAGAACTACATGGGAGGAGCTTGTGAACAATCTCAAGGCAGTTGGGACCACAGTCACTAAACAAACCATTGGTAACACAATACCCCGCCATGGATTGAAATCTTGCAGTGCGCCCAAGGTCCCCTTCCTCAAGAAAGCACATGTACAGGCCAGTCTGAAGTTTGCGCCAGTGAACATCTAAATGACTCAGAGAAGGATTGGCAGAAAGTGCTGAGGTCAGATGAGGCCAAAATTGAGCTCATTGGCATTAACTTGACTCGCCGTGTTTGGAGGAAGAAAAATGCTGACTATGACCCTAAGAACACCATCCCTACAGCCAAGCTTGGAGGTGGAACATTATGCTTTGGGACTGTTTCTTTGCTAAAGGAACAGGCTGACTTTTCCGCATTGAGGGGCCAATGGATGGGGCCATGTATAGTAAAATCTTGGATGAGAACCTTCTTCCATCAGCCAGAATACTGAAGATGGGTCATGGATTGGTCTTCCAGCATGACAATAACCCAAAACATACTACCAAGGCAACAAAGGAGTGGCTCAAGAAGAAGCACATTGTGGCTTAGCCAGTCTCCACACCTTAATTCTATTGAAAATTTATGGAGGGAGCTGAAACTTGGAATTGCCAAGCAACAGCCAAGACTACTTAAGGATTTAGAGAAGATCTGTAAAAAAGAGTGGACCAAAATCCCTCCTGAGATGTGTGCAAACCTGGTAACCAACAGCATGAAATGTCTTACCTCTGTGTTTGCTAACAAGTATTTCTCCACCAAGTCATGTTTTGCTTGGGGATCAAATACTTATTTTACTCACTGAACTGCAACTCAGTTTATAACACTTGTATCGTGTGTTTTTTCTCTATTTTTGGTTGATGTTCTGTCTTTGTCATTTAACCAGAAGATTTTCCCCCCTTCCTGGCCTGGCCATTTTTTGCGGTATGATGCTGCATTATTTTACCTAACAATTATGCGGTCATGCAACGCTGTACCCAAATGAAATTTATGTCCTTTCACACAAATAGAGCTTTTTATTGGTGGTATTTGATCACCTCTGTGGTTTTTAAATTTTGCGTTATAAACAAAAAAAGAAAACAATTTTGACAAAACAACTATGAAAAAAAAAAACAATATTTTTTATTTTCTACTATAAAAAATATCCAATAAAACATATTTTTTAAAATAAAATGTCTTCATAAATTCAGGCCAAAATGTATTCTGCTGCATATTTTTGGTAAAGAAAAATCCCAATAAGCGTATATTCATTAATTTGCGCTAAAGTTATAGCATCTACAAACTATGAGATATATACTGGAATTGTATTAATATTTTTTTTTATACTAGTAATGACGGTGATCAGCAACTTGTAGCGGGACTGCGATATTGCAGCGGACATTTTTACACTAACTCACACTGTGTGGGAACCAGTGACACTAATACAGTGATCAGTGCTAAAAATATACACTGATCACTGTACTAATGACACCGGTTGGGAAGGGGCCTAGCTAGGTGCCTAGCTTACACTAGGTGGTGCTGTTACAAGGGGAAGTGATAGATCCCAGCTCTGCTCTGACACACGATCCATCACTCCTCCCTGTCAGAACAGAGCTCTGCCTATGTAAACATAGGCAACGGAAGCGCATTGTTCATTGTTAGAGTTTACATACACTACATTTATTACTTCCTTCTCACAAGTCTGTATTGGCAAATGAGTCTGTCCTTTAAAGGCTGTCCACCAATATTGAATTTACTGAAGGCAAGAGAGAGTGGGGTTAAGGAAACTAGTTGAAAAAATTAGAATTTTCCTGGTTTCAGTAGACCAGTGTGGTGTTGGATAGCGCCATCATACCCAACTATAAAGAGCAACTAGAAAAACCCTCTTGGAATGGGAGTTTTAAGGCACAATTGATCTAAACATTTTAAAATTGTATGAAGACTTTATTATACAAAAAGAAAATGTATATATATATATATATAATAAAATTTTATTCATACAATATTATAATGAGCAGGTCACTTGTGCCTTAAAATTCCTATTCCAAAAGGGTTTTTCTAGTTCCTTTAATGGTTTCAGAGTTCCCAGAGTACTCTTCAAAGTAAATTAATATATACACAGGCACCTTTAGGCATCGTCAGCAATTGCTTGCTTTAAAATGAACACCTGTTCACTTAAAGTGATATTAAAATCATTTTCGTTAAATGAGCTGCTGATAGCAGAACTTACATGTTTTTGATGTTGTTTTTATAATTGCTCTCCTCTGAGCTGCCTCCCCATATTGCCCCCAGCCACGTTGTCCAACTCCAGCAAGTGGGTGCTTGTTGTGCCTTTGACGTCCCTCTGGAGTCTCCATCAGGGTCGGGACAAAGGGCCCGCAGAAGAGGCACATTCTCGAGGCTTAGTATTAATATGGGGGGGGGGGGGCACAGTGGAAGCTTCTCCTGTGCCTTACTGACAGGAGTGACTTCTGCCTTTGCAGCTTGGGGGTGTGGCATTTAGGGTGATAAAAACACAGCTCAACCACCTAGTTTTACTGGTTTCCATAAGGTCTTAAGACATTTTTTTCCTTTTAGTTACAGCACCAGCACCAGATTTTCTCCTTCAAGTGACACCAGCTATGCGTGGCATTTTTTTCATATTTGTGCACACATTTTAAACTCTTCAGTTTGCTGCAATGTACCACAGCTATTGATACTGTTTCAGTGCATGCCACAAACATTACATGCATTATATACTGTAGCGTTCACCCCTGAAGCAGTGTCTGGAATATTGCCCAGGTACTTTCCCAAGAAATGCAGAGACAGCCAGAGACAACAACAGTCACTCCAAGTGGCAAAATGAATAGTCTAGGGCAGTGGTTCTCAACCTGTGGGTTGGGGGTCGAATGACCCTTTCACAGGGGTCACCTAAGACCATCGGAAAACACATATTTCTGATGTGTTGAAAGCAGCTGCTGTGTTGAAAGCAAGTGTTGGAAGCAGTATTGGAGGTAAGACGACACTTCATGAATTATAATTGCTGGGTACATAATTTTATGGTTGGGGGTCACCACAACATGAGGAACTGTATTAAAGGGTCGCAGCATTAGGAAGGTTGAGAACCACTGGTCTAGGGGTATCTTTTTGTGGTTTTATTGTAGGTATTTTGGATGGGGTGTAGGGTAATATGGAATACTCCAGAACTATGTACAAATAGGAGGATATTCTTCACAGAGTGTCTCCACACGATATGTCTTATCAGGAATTAAGAGGGGGGCACTGGTAGAAGGGGAGGATCAGAGAAGTCAGCATCAAACAGCATTTTAACACAATGCAAAGGATTAACCCCTTAGGTTCCACAGTGAGTATAACCAAGCATGCTTTACTGCATATACACTTATTTTACTGTTGTGGGTTTAGTAACACTTTCATTTACCTAGTCTACCACCTATCTAGGAGGTGCTACATCCATTTCGCTGTGCGTGTCACTATTAGCTCTTACCCTTTCCCCACCCAGGGAAGGAGGGGGAAACAGTTTGCCATCTTTGCTCTGGGCACTGGATAACTTTGCCCTGGCACTGGTTTCTACTATGTACATCCTCCCATGTAGAACTACAACCTTACATGCAACTGCTCCTGAGGGGGACACAGAGCCAACACTCTGTCCCTCTTGCTCTGACTGTGCGTGCAGCGCTGGGAACAGCCGCACATAAGGCTGTCGTTCTAAATGGGAGCACACATTATGGTTGATTTACTAACACTGGAGAGGGCAAAGTCTGGTGCAGCTCTGTATAGAAACCAATCACCGTCCAGGTTTTTTTCTGTCAAAGCATAATTGAACAAGCTGTAGTAATGCAGGCCATATATTGGTCAAATCCCAAAGGGAAAATTGGAAATTTTGTGCATTTTGAATTGCAATGGTTTAGAAATTCAACCAATCAAGCCTTCAATTTCTCCTCATGTTGCTACAGAAAAGACTTTTCATGGCCAAGAATTTTATTTTCTTTCCAGGTCACAGCTCTATATTTCTTGCATGATTCTCCCATCATTGATTAAAAATTAGTTCGTTTTTCAAAAAATTTCCAACATGCCCGATCACTGAAACTCAATGGTCACACGAAAATCGGCCGTTTCTGTGACCCACTAATGATGCAAAATTCGAACGATAATTCTTAGAAAAGATTTTCGAAAGAAAATTCTTTCGGAATTCGACCCATCAGTTTGATCGGCTTTAGAAGTTGATTGGCTACCATGTACAGCTGCATCCCATTTTGCACTTCCCAGTTTCAGTTAATCAACCCCATAGTGTCGACACCAGCAGGACTCCATAGGTCCCAGCAGGCACAGGGGGCACTCACATACCTGGAGTTGAACAAGGCAACCGAAGGGCAGTATGAGGAGGATGTTCAGAGGAGAAAAATGATAAAAATAACAGAAGCAGCATGTAAGTTCTGTTATTAGCAAAAAAAAAAAGACTTTAATATCACTTTAAAGTTCCTCATTAATAGACCAGAATTAGCGTCATTTCTGGTGAGCAGCATAAATGTAATGGATCCCTGTGTTCACAGACAGTTTAGTGGTTGCTCTCAGTTTCACTGACAGAGCTTGAAATTGTTACTTGCCGGGAGATTGGTTGGGAAAGCCGATGTATGTTTCCCGTTAGAGCTGTCAGGACACGTTAAGCTGGTGAATAGTGAAACACTCCAGTGAATTACAGAACATGGCAAGTACAACTTTCCTAAATGATTTATGGTCTACTTTCCTTTATGACTTTCTGCGTGATTGGAGGCATCTTTGCTGATGCTTGCTGTATAACACAGCAAATATTTCCAAAGGGACTGCACGCTAGCCTATGACAGCTTGTGCACAGAGATTCAATGTAATCAAATACTCAGGTGTAATTAAATAGCTGGGAAAAGTCTGAGGAGGCTGAGGCTTAAAGTGAACCTCTCCTGTGATCTTTTTCCTATCAAAGTATACGCAGCATCAGATTTATTTGTCAAGTATAGTGTACACATACTAAGTAAGGTGCAGGGGCGGACTGACCATTTGGAAACTTGGGCACTGCCCGAGGGCCCGGGGTCAGTAGGGGGCCCCATGAGAAGCCCCTGGTACCTTTTCCATAGCCTTTTTTGAGTTTGGGCAAGGACACAGGGGCCCCATGATCCCCTATTGCCCGGGGGCCCCATGAGTTGTCAGTCCGCCCCTGGTAAGGTGTAAGGCTCTTTGCATATGGGACCATCTACAGTTGCTGTGTGTTCCTTTAATACATCAAGGAGGAACAAATGCAGTATCCATCTCCTCTGCATGTAGCCCATCAAAGTCAATGGCAGGCTAGGGCTGAACGCTGCATAAATTGGTACCTGCCCTATGCATTCAAGGACAAATGCATGAACGCAGGTCTTTTGCTTTCCATGCATTTCTCCCTACACTCACGTCAAACGTGATAATTCACACAAACGGGCTATGCTGCAACCACAAGCCAAACACTAGGCTTGTGATTGTACCTCAGTATTCCCCTTCAGAAACCCTGTTTGCTTGAAAAAAAAGCCCAAGTACTCAGGAGGTGGCGCTATCTTTGTTCAAGTGTTGTCCAGGGTCAGCATCTACTTACTGGTTTGAGATGCTGGCTCAAGATTGCAGCTTTTCACTTAGTGGCTTCCTACAAAGTTACAAAGTTGCAGTTTGATCATTAGGGAAGATAGAACTAAGGTGGTGCCTCAGTGTTTTTAGCATTGGCATCACTAGTGCCAGGCACTGGGGGCACATTCCCTGGGTCTTCTCTTCAGTACAATTGGTAAGCGATGCCCCACACATATCATATAACCCATTGCTATGCAAGGACTACCTTGCTTTCCATCAATTCTCAAATTAGAGCAGCATTGCAGAGCCAAGGGGACTCCTAAGCTCCTTCTTGTCTCTGATATGTCAAATGACATAGCCAGGGAGAAGGTTCCCTCATTCTGCGAGGGTGCCACTCTGAATGAGGTCTGCTGAGCTCTTGGCAGGATCCTGGACAGTAGGGGATCTTTGTACTGGGGAGTGTAGATTTTGGTTTGGGAGAAAGGAATTGTTTGCTGGGCAAATGTTTGTGCTGAGGGGATATTTGTGCCACAGGAGGAAGTTTACATGGAATGTGGGTAATGTTTGCAGACTGGGGTGATGGAGAGTTGTCTTTTTTTTGGGGGGGGGGTAAAGAGGGGGATTTTTTACTTAAGGGGTGAAGGATTTTCTGGAGGGTGGAAAATTTTCAATGACCATGAGGGACTTCTTGGGGCTGCAGGTTTCTGCTAATGGGGGTAAGCAGGGGTTTTCTTAAGGAGGAGCAGGTGTTTGCTTGGGATGGGACAACTTTATGCTAGGGTAAGCTATTTGTTTGGGGAGATGAAGGGGAGGGTTTGTTAGAGGGTGGGAGATTTGTACTTGGAGGGAGGGACATGTTTTTCTGACCACTGTACCTTCGCTCTGTAAATGATGTGCTACTAATACCTGCACTTTGTGACTTACATAATGCTGACTCCTACACTCTGTACTTTACCCCTTGCATTCTATGTTAAGAATACATTACACACCCCTGACTTTTGCACTTTGTGTGTTACATACCAGTGACCCATGTAATGTGTGCATTAGGTACTCCTATCTCCTGCACTCTGTGTGTTACATACTCCTGACTCCTACACGCTGTGCATATCATATCCCCCAACCCCTGCACTTTGTGTGTTACATACTTCTTCCCCCTATATGCTGTAAATTACATGCTCTTGACCCTGCATGCTGTTTATTACATACTAATGAACCCTGGACTCTGTTGATCTTGTACTCCTGACCCCTACCCTCTTAACATTGGGTTTAAAATTACATACTCCTGACCCCTGTACTCTATATGCTATATTATATGTTACATACTCCATATTTTGTGGGTACAAGGACTGTGGCATATCCATGAGAAGGCTTAGGTTCTATTTCACCATGTCTCTGTAAGCCTCTCCCACTGTTATTGCCATCTGACCGCACCCATCATTAGCTTCGGCATGCTTGGTACACTGCATCATTCCTTCCTTTTTTCACAATTCTAGCAATGCCTTGGGTCTTAGGTGAAATTATGTCCTACATGGATATATACAGTTTGTATATCTATTGATGAATCAAAATATTGGCATTATTATTTGCAGAAATGTTAATATTTGATTGGCTAGATACATAGTTAAATAGTGTGAAAGATTGATAGATCAATATACAGTTGCAAGAAAAAGTATGTGAACCCCTTGGGATTACGTGGAGTTTTGCATGAATTGGGCATAAAATGTGCTCTGAACGTCATCTATGTCACAACAATAGAAGAACACAGTCTGCTGAACATAATACTACACAAACATTAGATGTTGCCATGGTTTAATTGCACATAACATGTAAACATTCACAGTGCAGGGAGGAAAACGTATGTGAGGCCCTAGCTTAATGACTTCTTCCAGAGCTAATTGGAGCCAGGAGTGAGCCAACCTTGACTTCAATCAGTGTGATGATATTAGATGTGTTGTTGACAGCTGTCCTGCCCTTAAAAAAACACACACCTGTTTTGGGTTTACTGGTTTCAAGAAGTACTGTCTGATGTGAACCATGCCTCGCAGAAAAGAGCTCTCAGAAGACCTACGATCAAGAATTGTTGACTTGCATGAAGCTGGAAAGGGTTACAAAAGTATCTCCAAAAGCCTTGATGTTCATGTGTCCACGGTAAGACAGACTGGCTACAAATGGAGAAAGTTTAGCACTGTTGCTACTCTCCCTAGGCGTGGTCGTCCTGTAAAAATGACTGCAAGAGCACAGCGCAGAATGCTGCATGAGGTAAAGAAGAATCCCAGAGTGTCAGCTAAAGACCTACAGAAATCTCTGGCACATGCTAACATTTTTGTTGACACATCTACAATAAGGAAAACATTAAACAAGAATGAAGTACATGGGAGGACACCACGGAGGAAGCCATTGCTGTCCAAAAAGAATATTGCAGCATGTTTGAAGTTTGCAAAAGAGCACCTGGATGTTCCACAGCACTACTGGCAAACATATACTGTGGACAGATGAAACCAAGATTGAGTTGTTTGGGAAGAACACACAAACACTATGTGTGGAGAAAAAAAGGCTCAGCACACCAACATCAAAACCTCATCCCCACTGTAAAACATGGCGGAGGGAGCATCATGGTTTGGGGCTGCTTTGCTGCCTCAGGGCCTGGACGGATTGTTGTCATTGATGGGAAAATGAATTCCAGAGTTTATCAAGACATTTTGCAGGAAAACGTACGACCATCTGTCCGCCAACTGAAGCTCCGCAGAGGATGGGTGATGCAACAGGACAATGACCCAAAGCATACAAGTAATTCAACAAAACAATGGCTGCAACAGCACAGAATACGCCTTCTGGAGTGGCCCAGTCAGAGTTCTGACCTCAACCCGATTGAAATGCTGTGGCATGACCTTAAGAGAGCGATTCACACCAGACATCCCAAGAATATTGCTACACTGAAACAGTTTTGTGAAGAGGAGTGGTCCAAAATTACTCCAGATCGTTGTGCAGGTCTGATCTGCAACTACAGGAAACGTTTGGTTGAGGTTATTGCTGCCAAAGGAGGGTCAACCAGTTATAAAGTCCAAAGGTTTACATACTTTTTCCTCCCTGCAATGTGAATGTTTACATGTTATGTGCAATTAAACCATGGCAACATCTAATGTTTGTGTAGTATTATGTTCAGCAGACTGTGTTCTTTTATTGTTGTGACTTAGATGACGTTCAGAGCACATTTTATGCCCAATTCATGCAAAACTCCACTTAATCCCAAGGGGTTCACATACTTTTTTTGTATACTGCATGAAAAGTTATACTGATCGTCAATATTCTTTGAAAAAGAAAGAAACCACAATGAAAAGATACTTTATCACTTGCTTCATTGAACACAAGATGCTGCGTTCTTCCACATCAGAAAAGTAATCAATGATTGAACATTCCGAGTAATCATGATCATCATCATCACAAGACAGAAAATTAGGGAAACAAAACATTTTAACACAACATTATGTGGCTTACAATACTGACATTATATTACAATATCGCCTGTTTACATACCGTATAACAAAAGTTGATAACATTTGGAACATTCAATTAAATTATGTTTGCTGCCCATAAGGAAGATGAAAAATAAAGTAAAATCTTTTCATGTGCAATTCTGAGAATAGATTCCATTTAATTAGGTGCAATTATATCCCGTCCAGACGTATAAACCTCATACATTTTATGGATTTAGATGAAATCAAATGTTAACATGTAGAGATTAGGTTCTGTATACATCCTTTCAATTCTTAGAAAAGACTAATATTGAATTGCCTTAGTGTGCCTCTCTGTAAAAGAGCCTTGCTTATCCCAAGCAGATGCACACTAACTGCTAACTGGTGCCTCCGAGATTTTACAAGTTATGATTCAACTGAAAAAGAATTTTTTCACAAATGCTCAAAGCTCGGTATGATAGCAGAAGCATGAATCGGGGATTAGACATTTTGTGCCTGGCAACAGCACTTAGCAGTTATATAGTCCAGCTGGATGGAAGGCTTCCGTTGATGTACAGAGAAAACGGTGGTGTAAATCAACACTTTATCTTCAGTTAATGACTACTGGATTTCAGTCAAAGATGAAAACTTGTCCTAAAAACTGGCATTATTATACTGCAGAGCAACATAAAAATAATTTCATATTCCTCTGCTGGAAACAGATACTGCTTATTAATCATTTTCTATAGCAAACGTGGTGTAGTTTGTTTCTCAAGAAACATTCTGCTATTGCTGATAGGGGAGAAAGAAAATGGCCATGTTTGGTATCAGTAACCATTTTTTGTTCCATGGCATTTGGAGAGGGTGTCACAATGATCTTTTTTTTTTTGCAGTGTAGTGCTAGTCAAATCACACAAAAAATGCACTGAGGGCACAGAAAATTGCCAAATGTCCAAAGAGGAAGAGCATCTAGCTCTGAAATCCCCAGAGAACAAGGTTCTGACCAGGGACGGACTGACCATTTGGAAACTCGGGCACTGCCCGAGGGCTCGGCGTCAGTAGAGGGCCCCATGAGATGCCCTGGTACCTTTTTCATAGGCTTTTTTGAGTTTGGGCAAGGACACAGGGGCCCCATGAACCCCTATTGCCCGGGGGCCCCATGAGTTGTCATTCTGCCCCTGCTCCTGACAGGGTCAAGGTACTCCATGGTTCACGATTATTATTAT